ATTAAAGTATTGAGACTGACTCATTTAAATTATGCTCCAAATATAGTGCTCAGTGATTGACGATTCGAGATATGATTAAATATGTTGGAATATCATTTAGTTTATGTCAATCGATTTTAAAAGATAATTTGAGCGTGAGACACGTCGCATTTTGCATTGTTATAGAAACGCAGATTTTTTTCTTATCTTGTTCGTGATTTTTTGGCCAAAATCGTACGAATACTATTCCACAAGCTCCATATTTGCCTATTATGTACTGTGTGATTTTTTTTCCTATTCCCTCGATTTCCTCGACTGAAATTCCACTTTGTGGACACCGTTTTAAATCAATAGACGCGATAAAGGAGAATTCGCTGCGCGTTCTGAAGGCTATACCTGAAATCGATTATATGAAAGGTGCTACAAGAATTGAAAAAAATGTTGGCATAAATGTACTGCTATGCACACTGCGTGTGCGCGCGCGCGGTGTATGCGTGTGTGTGTGTGCGCGCGTACACACGCGCATATGTGCGCATGGGAGAGGATTATTTTAAAAGGTATAAAATAAATTTGGGAGAATAATTTCATATTTTGCGTTTTATTGGACCAGAGAAAGTCCCGGTACTTTTTGATCACAATAGTATACAAATTTTATAGAATGATTTTGTATAGGATTAGATATCCAAGTCTAATTTTAAAAATTCTACGATGTTTCTTTGAGTAATTTACTAATTTCCAACTTCGTAAGTACATGTTGCAGAAATTTTATATCAAATGTTGTCATGACTTGACAGCTCAAGCAGCTATACTGGACTAAGGAATGGTGTATAAAGAAGACCTCAATTTTAAAGGTGACCCTAGGTCAATAATAGTATTAACAAGTACTGACAATATTACTGATTGTGTGTGATTAATATTAATGGATTGACGTAGAATACTGACGTAATCTAGATTTTGATTTTTAAGCATCAGTATCGTTTTATTAGGATCCATGTCACAGTATGTCCCAGTGCAATAGGAAATGCACGTAAAACTAAAGTGAAATATTATTCACTGATGTAAGGTTACAGAAATATTGAAAATATTTATGCATATTATCAGTATTATTGGTTCAATATTATTGATCAGTATTATTATTGACTATGTATAGGGTATCACTTTAAAAAGTTTTATCGTTTTTGGCATAAATTCCTAAAAAGTTTTATCGTTTTTGGCATAAATTCCTTACTACAGACTACTGTTAATGCGTATACTTTAATTCTTGAAAAGGATTTTTAAATCTTGTACAAAAATTACGAAGTAATGCGATATCATTTTACGAAAATTGTTGTATATCGATAAAACAGACACCTTTGTAATCCTCTAAGGCCCAATTCCACAACTCACGATTAACTCTTAACCAAAGTTGAACTTGTTTTTCATCTTTTTCCAATTTTAGAATTGGAAAGAGACAACGAATAAGTTGAACCTCTGTTAAGAGTTGTGGAACTGGCCCTTAGGATGCTGGAATGACGGTCGAACTTGATCGAGGTTGGTAGTATATTTTTTAATTTCAAATTCGATAATAGCGACATCTTTCATTTATATTATATTTATTATATGTATATCATTGTGTCTCATTCAAACGCATTCATTGTTATGTAACATTTTTCAAGGCCATCTCTTAGAAGATCAAACACTTATTGCTAGATACAATTATTGCTTTGTTTATCATTCCGAATTTTCGCTCAGCGTTCATATACATGTCCTTTGCAGATTGATATAAATCTTTCTTTTTAAGCCTTTTATTTGTAATTCAGTATTGTTTGTGCACGTAATACGCTTGGTGCTGCACTGTCGTTTGGTTCATATGAGCTATAAACTTTTGTATTAAGGCTCCTGACTACTCAGCGAAAAGAACTTTGCGTTGATGGTAGCGACACAGAATCAAACGACGGTTTGGCGAAACCGGTAGCCACACATTCAAGCACGAGCCCATGTACGTGTGCTCGCTTTCGGCACGCCGAGAATGAACGAGACAGTGAGCTCCTTCTCACACTAATCGCTTGTTTCAAGCGACCAAAAATGCTTTCTCAGCAATTGCGATCGCTCGGTATCAATAAGGAGCGAGGGACATTCTAAATAATATATAAGTTTTACAAAAATATAAATAATAAAGAGCATACAGCCACAACGATAGATGTTTAAATGCAAGTCATATATTTAAAATTCTCATATAAAAATGTAGATGTTTCGGTCAAGATTTGACCATCAGTACAACAAGATGACAAAATAAAAAATTATAGAAAATTAATTAAGTAATAATCGCTAGTCCGAAAGATGGTACAAATAATATTTAGATGACAATAACAAAGAAATTATATAAAATTGAAAGCAATGATCGCAAGTCATAGATGGTAAAACAGATGGTAAAATAATTTTCCAATCGCTTATGGTACGAGTTTACAGAGTAAGTTGAAGTCCAAAGATTGAAATTAACAAATATTTAAACGCTTCTGATGAAATCTTTGTTACGTGTATGATTCCTTTTTTCAAAAGAAGCAATGAGCGACTTCGTGTAAAAATACGGAATTTCCAGATTCTATTTAAAATGAAGAGAAAAAAATACGCTTTTAATAACTTTTTTAATACAATAATTATTCGCGAAAATTAATACAAAATTATATTGATAATTACTTACCACGTATTTTAAACACAAATCCTCGCAAATATGATTCGGAGTAAGTAATATAACTTAAAAATCAAACACTTGGAACACTGGTAAAAATTATTTCTGACAAAAATTATGAAGGACCTTAGTTAGCGACAGTCTTTATATATTGTGAGAGAAAAGGAGAGGAAATGAGAGTGGATTTTAATATAGCTTAGAAACCAATGAATTGTATGAATACTTTCATAAAAATAGGCAAAGATAAAATTAAAAAAGAAGATTATTGAAATGTCATTTATAAAATTAACTATCATGACTGCAATTATTCTTATGTAGGATAGACAAAAAGGAAAGACGCGTTTAAAGAACACATAAACGATTTAAAAAAACTTACTAATTCTTTGTCTGTTATCTCCCGTCACAAACTTGATAATGATCATACGATTGGGATAATATTAGCACACTTGACTCCGAACAATCGCATTATAAAAGAATGGTCTCCGAGATGATACATATCAAACGACAAGAAAAGGGTTTAAATAAACAGAGTGACACAGAACGCTTTCCTGAAATTTATTTACCAATCATTGGAAAAAATCCTTCTACCTTCATAGAATTACCCTCTCCACTCTCATTTCCTCTCCTTTCTTCTTACAATATATAAAGACTGTCGCTAACTAGGGTCCTTCATAATTTTTGTCAGAAATAATTCTTATCAGTGTTTCAAGTGTCCGGTTTTTAAGTTATATTACTTACTCTGAGTCATATTTGCGAGGATTTGTGTCATAAGATACGTGGTAAACGATTGTCAATATAATTTTATACTAATTTTTGCGAATAATTATCGTATTGAAAAAGTTATTAAAAGCGTATTTTTTTCTCTTCATTTTAAATAGAATCTGGAAATTCCGTATTTTTACACGAAGTCGCTCATCGCTTTTTGAAAAAAGGAATCATACACGTAA